CAAACTAATACAGATAGATTTAAAAAAACTTTTATTCCTACGTCTAGTAACTTAAGTTAAATTAATGTAATTTGTAGTACTAAGCGTTTTAATGACCATTTGTATATATGCCTAATTAACCCATATTCTATCTTTTAAATAATGTTTTATATACTCTTGTAAATCACGCAATTCAGCTGTCCAGCTGCAAGGTGAATTTTAAATACACTATCCATCTATCTATCTGCATGGATCACGCAATCCTGCACGGAAAACCATTCGGTATTCCTTTAATCACATATAAAGATACGACAGGCTTATGATTTTTCTTTGTGTTTCTCTCATGAATTATTAATGATTTTTGAAGTATGTTATAATGTATTATTTTGTATTAATTTGTAAATTTGGGGCTAACAAAGTTTTGTTTTTATTTTATTTTTAGAAATGGAGTGTTTCTGGTGTATGACAGAATACAAGGCGAATGCGGAAGTCCTGGGAGAGTTTTGTTCTCCTGAACTAAATACAGAGCTTTCGCAAAAAATGAATTCAAACCTGGCAGGTTGTTTGGATTGTGTGATGGCCTACCATTACGCAAGGCAGTACTTTCTGAAAAGAAACGAATCTTCTCAAAAGGTAAGAACTATTTCTAATCAGTTCTGAAAATTACATTTTGTTAAAAGAATTGCAGTGTATATGTAGCCAGGTACATAATTGATAATTAGCCATTCCGCAGTTGATGAGTGGACTGGGGACGAGTGTTAAAAAGTGCCCAAATTAGGAAATGAACCAAATCACTAAAATGACCACCTCAAAATTAGTAAGTATACAAAGTTTGAATATCCTTCGAATAATAAGCTTTCGAAAATCGTGATATTTACTATGAAATATATTGTAATTTTTGTTTTTGGGACTCGCGTTCCAATGGGTATTGATGTAAACGTCTTCAAACTTGTATACTTACCAATTTTGAGGTTGTCTTTCTAGTTATTTGGTTCATTTTTTATTTGGGCACTTTTTAACACTCGTCCCCAGTCGTCTCATCAACTTCGGAATGGCTAATATAAGAATTTAAAGAAGAGATTAACAAGAAAGTCAACAGACATAAATATAATGCCTGCACTGCTACAAACCATGTACTGTACAACTATTGTAACTTGCAAATGGGTCAGAAATGAAATGATCAGAATCTAAGAGAATTTCTTTAAGCTATTTCAGGCCTCATTGTTATTCCTGGCCATAAGGCATGATGATGCTGTATTTTTTTATGAATCGGTTGTTGAGTTGACTCGAGTCATTTACGGCAGTAATTATTTGGGGCAAACGCCAGGCAAAGAAAAATTTTACAGTATCAGGCAGTAAAGAGTGAATGTATACTTGCTGTTTTAAAACTGCACTGCATGATTATTCTTTCGACACAAGAAAGAAAATATGAAACGAAAACGTTCAACGAAAATGTCGCCAAGAAAGTTTGAAGCTGCCGTTTGCCGTTCCCGCGGAAACGTGAAGCTTAAACTCCCTAATATTTACAGTTTGTTTTTCAAATGGCTCATGTGACCGTGTTAAATACAATATTTAAAAAACCCACAAATTCTATTAACAAAATAATGAATACTGATTTTATGGTATTGTCATAACCGCCGTTTGAATTTAGATAGGGATAGATTATATTATAGATATTTTAGATTATTTTGCTCGATAATTCGTTCCACCCTTGTGCCGCTGTATAAGTGAAACGTCTTTTGAGAAAGTTAGTCAGTCTTGGTCTAGGCAGAGCGAGTTTACCGTATTACTCCTTAAGGAATACTGTATATACTGTTTTCAAATTTAGTGAAAAGATCTTGAATATACTGTACAGAGGTAGTTTGCATGTTAAAGCTTTGACCCTTGTTGGAAGCGACATTAACCTCTGTGGACGTGTCTAGTTTTATTCAATTCTGTGCCATTGTATAGGAACTTTTTACGTGGGAAGTATAAACAGGCTATGTGAACATTTGAGGAATTCTCTTCATCCAAATAGAGAATTCAAGTTAGATAAAGATCTCTTTGATTGGCAAGAGGTACTGTATAGCATTGATAATAGCTGGATTCATGGGTTTTAAACAAGAATTCCTGGTTTAGAATCCACCTAACATAATCTGGTTATTCAACCATATAGCGTGGTTAAATCATAGATATCTTATATACACTAGATAGCGCATCTTTTTTAGTAAAATTGAAGCCAAGAATAATCCAGCGGTTACCTCCATTTGAATAGATGGCGGCCATGTTGAAGTTTCCCACTCGCTAATAAACGCTTAAAAAACAACAATAACTTTCATCATTTGAATAGTTTGAAAATGTATTTGGAATAGGTTTAACTTACTGTAATGTTTAAGTTCCCTGTTTAAGAAATAGAAAACATACAATCCTGAGTCTGCAATCACGGCCTCATTTTTTGAATTGCAGAATAATTAGACGCACTATCTAGTGTATATAAGATATCTATGGGTTAAATTTACCAGGAATCCTGCTTGAATTAACCAAGACTGTGGTTAAATAGCCAGGATATTTAATCGCGAACATTAAGTCACCGTAAAGAATGTGAATTTTAGATTAACCAGGGCATTTTTAGCCTGCGGGGTATTTTTAGAGTGCGTCTTTTAAATGGAACAGCCCAAACTACAGAGCGAACCTAAGTACTTACTGCACCTGTAGTCCTTTACAATGGCTGATTCCAGCTATAGACTAAATTTTGATCAAGGCAAGAAGAACGAAATCCAACAGTACAACTACTGTAGAAAGGGCGTCTTAGGATGAGTAAAACTGCAAAGATTGGTTGTTAAATGTTGTAAAATGAAGAAAGTTTAGCCCTGTGAAGTTCGCAAATTTTGTATATATTTGTATTACGCGCGGTAAAAATAACCACTTTCGGCTCTAAAATGGTTATTTTCCCGCGCGTAATGCAAATATGTACAAAATTTGCGAACTTCACAGGGCTACACTTTCTTCGTTTTACGACATTGAGCAACCAATGTTTGCAGTTTTACTCATCCTAAGACATCCTTTCTACAGTAGCTGTGCTGTTTGATTTCCTTCTTCTTGTCTAGATCACAATTTCGTCTCGTGGTTATTGTATATACCCTAGAAACGTAAATTCTAAATTTTTATAATTTTGAAAAATAATAACGGCTTCTTTTCAGCCCTTTAGTCCTTGAATTTCCTGTCACATGGCTTTCAATGTCCTAAACCGTGGTAGCAATGCCCGAACAAACGGGATGAGAATGCATGAGAGTTGACAGTCACGTGACGTTGGTTAGCTGTTCTTGATGCTTTCCCAAAGGTCGATTTACACTGCACAACTTTTGCCTAAAACTGTCGCATGCAACCTGCTTACAGCTTGAGTTGTACTGTGTAAAGCGCACAACTTTAAAACGTAGTTGGAACACTCGTGAAACTTTTATTATGTTAATCTAGAGTTTGAAATGTTCCCTGTAATAATTCGTGACTGCCAACTCTCATAAACTCTTATTCTCGTTTGACTGGGGCTTTACAATGAACAAACAATATGGAATGGCCCGTACTGGACCTCTTGAGAGAACTGTTTAGAACTGATAGGGCTACTCAGTATAAATACAGTTTAGTGGGTTTCTCGAACTCTTTCGTTTTATATCTTAGTTCCGTATGGATTTCACAATTTACCTCGTGACATGGTGGAACAACCATCAGAAGTAAACGAGATAGTGGGCTTACTTATGGAGGAGAATAATAGAGTGGGTGTGGTCGGCAGTCGTTGGTATCCACGGTATGGGGGGCTCGGTAAGATTGTCTTAGCCCTGACTATTGCTTGGGATGCCTTGGTTTCTCGTCAGGTTATCTGGCTTGACATTGGTAAAACCGCAGACTGTTAGCACTGATTAATATCCTCATAAAAGCTCTTGGGGGAGTTGTATCGTTCAGTGATATGTCGACCGCGCAAATACGGTATGTATGCATTTAATGTTGTGTGTAATTCTTATTTAGGCGATGTGACACGGGACGATTTTCAAGAACGATTTGCAATGCAAATTACTTCATACGAAGGTGATTGGTTAGGCAATGCATTGGGTTATGAATCGTCGCTAAAAATTGTTCCGTGTAACATCGTTTTTAATAATTATGGAAAAACAAAAGAAATACGTAGATACATACACACATACATTATTCAGCTCACTTTCGATCAGGAGTTTTCAGTAACCGATTACATCAAGTATTACGCTTATTTATATTACCTACTTAGCCTAGACTATTTTATCGTTTACAGCAACTGTGATATTACTTTCCTAACTTTTTTATCCTAACCTTGTCAACTTTCCTTGGCACAGTGTTGACAGATTCTTTTCACCATAGTTAATAGAATAGATGGTTTGGAAACTCATTAGCATAACAATATAACTCATTATCTACGTTAGTCAACGTTTATTGATAAATATGGTCCTTCACCGTCACGCCTGTATTGTATTTTTGCCAAATCAACCAATAGCAATTTCTAATTTACTCTATTGTTCGAGTCATGGACAGGTAACTTTGCTAAAACATTGCTATTGGTTAGTTGGGCAAAATATAATACACACGTGACGGTAAACGACCAGATTTATGAATAAACGTTGACCAACATAGATAATGAGTTATATTGTTATTCTGGTGTGTTTCCAAACCATGTATTCTGTTAACTATGGTGAAAAGAATCCTTATTCTATTAACTATGTTTTCACATGAGTTCGTAGCATAAATTGAACCCACGATCTCAGAAGTGAAAGACGCTTGCTGTGACGACTGCGCCACCGAAGTCCCTGACTGTGACCGTGAAGGAGCTTGTATATTTGATACAAAATTCTCACCAAGTTCTCATCAAATTCATGTCTTTAAGATTATTGAGGAGTACAAAAACGTTTTCATCAAGACGAATCACAAGCTATGTACAGCATTCCAGCATTCCTTCGGCTCGTGTTTGTACACGGCTCTCTTGCTGTATAAAATATTACATGAGAATGAGAGTTGAAGAGAATTGACTAGGTATTTTCATGCGCGTAGCGAAACTCTCGTGAAGTCCGATCAAAATTTGAACCAGCTCAAACCAGTTTAATGTGTTTGAGAGAAAATCTCTGATTCAAAAAGGTATACAGGGGGAAGTGGAGATATGGGGAGGAGGGCTATATAGACAAATTCGGAGTTTCCACTGCGCATCCAAATGACGCATTCTACGCTGGAAACAAATTGCAGTTGAACTATATGACATGCATCTGAGACTGGAAGAATGCGAATATGCATATCAAAGTGTTTTCAACAGTTCAATCATCATTTGAATATGCAAAAGTTGCTCACAGAACAATTAGTTTCCGGACAGTTGTCTCGCTTTAAATTAGAAAATATATTCCCTTTTATCTTTCTTTATTTTGCGCTTTACATGTAGGTAAAATATGCTAGTACAAAAATAATTTAATTTGCAATCTTATTGTTGCTTGTAAGTAAAACACAAATGATGATTGAACAGTTGAATACTTTGATATGCATATTCTAATTCTTCCAGAATTTGCTCCCTGCGCAGAACGCGTCATTTGGATGCGCAGTCGAAACTCAAAATTGGTTTATACATCACAACATTGCAAGTATATTCTTTTAAGGGCCGGTTTTGGGAGCTGAAAGCGTGCTCATATGCAGTGGCGTAGCCATGCAGACCTTCATTTTTGGGGGGGCCAAGCGAACGCCGAAGGCGCGAGACCATCTATGGAGGTCCGGGGGCATGCACCCCCGTGAAAATTTTGAAATTTAGAGTCCCTGAAATGTGATTTCAAGCATTTTGGTGGTGAAATCTTGCAGAATTCCGAAGATTATAAAGTACGCTTTAGGGAGGTTCGGGGGCATGTACCCCAGGGAAAATTTTAAAATTTAGAGTCCCTGAAATGTGATTTCAAGCATTTTGGGGGTGAAATCTTGCAGAATCCCGAAGATTATAAAGTACGTCGAAGACATAAATTTTCCCAGACATTTCTAAGTTTCTACTCGCTTTTATATATGATACAGAATAAGTCTGAGAAGAATATTCATGTTATCATAATGCATGTACATGTAAATCTAAACTAAATCTATTCCTCTTGGAACCATATCTACAACTGTTTTAACGAGATTTTAGAAATCAAGTTCTTCCAGTATTTCGTCGTTTTCCTCAGTCGAGACGTACTTAATCCGTTTCAGCTTCGAGGATGTAACGTGTACCCCCCCCTCCATTTCTCTACGGATTTAGCCTTTTTCAGAGAATAGTTTTTGTTGCATGCCCATAGATGGGCATGCAACTTTCATATAGCTCTAAATTTCGTGTCGTGTACGTACGACGTACGTTGGTTGTGCGTTGTACCGGCGGTGGTAAATCACGTGATAGATTAGTAAAATACGACAAATACCGAGTTTTTCCGACGAGCATTTTCATGTGATGACAGTGATGTGAATTGTGAAAGTTGAAACAATAAATATGCACGCTTTTGTTCACGGCTTTCGTCGAAAATTTACGTAAATTAGCGCCTTAGAAAACTAGATCGAGGTAGGTAAAGCTTTGCTGTTTTTAATTTAGCTTAAATTCTTTTATTTGTTATTATTTTGCTGCCGTTGTGCTCGCACTGATATTTATTTATCAATTATCAGGCGTTTATTAATATGTTTGTGAAAGGCCACGCTATCAAAATTCTAATTTTTTATATGCTCAAATTGAAACGAAGCCATTATGCTAGCACTGATTATTATGTGTGTAAAACTTCAAATTTCAAAATTACATCACATTCTGTAAATAACATGAACTATTGTCTACTGAAATTTAATAATACATATTGAACGAAATAGCATTCTACTTCGATAATTTCAATCATAGTCGAGATCATAGTTTAATAATTATTTTCAATCTATTATAGTAATTCACGGTTTCCACGGGTTGTTATGCTGTCAGTAAGCCACAATAAACCTAAATTTGTAGTAAAATATAAACATTGTTTACTTCGAATAGTCAATCATACCAAGTCTGTGATAAAACCTTGACCTGTTGACCTTGTTATTACCGTCCCTTGCAACTACAGATGAACAGTCGCGAAAAGTTTGAAAAAGTTATGTTATTTTGACATAATAGCTATCTTTCAATAAATATATTGATATTAAACTTGTTGAATCAATATGTTAAAGACCATGTAAAGTCCGTAATGTAAAGAAATGCTTTGTTTACATTTTGAACTCAGTGCTACAGTTGTAAAATATGATTAGATATATATAATACTGAATTTTTAACACTCTTCTGGTTCGCTATGCTTCTAAATGAATACTGACTAGAGATTCAATTCAAGAAAATTCAAAAGATGCGAAATATTAATAACATTCCAACGGTCTGGTCCCGACCATTGGAATGTAAGCCTGCGCAGAACGTATGCGCAGAACAGACTTTAATAACATGGTCTTTAAGTTTCAGGCCAGTTGTACAAAAATTTATAAGCGGACCATAAAGGCGGATTCCCACTCAGTGCAAAATGTCGACCGATCAATATTTTGCGATCACTTTCTTTTGACATACAACTAATCAGGTTGACTCAACACGTTTCAAAATAAAGTGATTGCAAAAAGTTGATCTCCCGATATTTTGCACTGAATGAAAGTCGGCCTGAATGCAACTCGGCCTGAATGCAACTGGCTCCGCAGAGGCTTTAGTCACAGAAAAAATACCAGACCAGAAGAGACACTCCTATGTGTTTTGGCTTGGGAAAACATCCGAAATTTTTTATGTGCTGTGACGCCATCTTGGAGTGGACACGCAGGATGGCGTCATATGATGGTGTATTTTCACGTCAGCACTAGTAAAATTTCGGACAAGATATTGTCTGAGTGACACTTCTGGTCCAGTATCTATTTTGTGTGTTAGTTGTCTTATGATTTATTATGATGAGATACATTTCACTACACTTTACATGGCGGATCTTGGAACACGGGCGGAGCCACTGGGCGAAGTAGCGCGGGTGGAAAGGCAAAAGCCTCTGTGGAGGAGAGGGCATGCAACATGTACGCACTGCGTACCTATTTTTTGCGATTGGGGGGGGGCGACCGCCCCCCTTGCCCCCCCCCCTTGGCTACGCCCCTGCTCATATGAGCCCGCGGGTTAACCGGAAAGCTCGCCAGAGTGGGATGAATTATTTCTGTGTTCACGTTACTGTTTTTATCCCATCTAATATCCCGCCTCGGTGGGACGAAATTATGTAAACATGGAATCTTCGAAATATCCTTTGTTGCAATTAAACAAACTGCATCTTGTATTACGATTTTAGCCGTAGCATTTTCCAACTGTGCCGTTGAATACTATATTATATAGTGAAAATCGGCCAAAAATGTCCATCCCGGTCGGGTGGGATAAAGCCTTCATATGGACAATTTTACCCCACTTGATCCCACCTAGCACAAGATGAGATCTCACCTCACCGGGCTAGCTGGCTTGTTTTTTTCATATATGAACACATATTGAATTTTATATGCGTAATAAGGGGCGCCGGAAGCAATATGAAGCGGCGGGGGCAGCCATTTCAAAAGGGCAATTGCTTCTCAGCCATCATTTTTTCTGGGCGGCAATATTTGTTAAAACTTTACTGTATGGATAGTCGATTACTTGTGACTATTATGGGTCTGCAAACTTCGACATTAATTTTGAACAATTTTATTCGTTGATGACAATGATGATAACAATATTTAGAATCAGGTCATTTCAAACTTTCGTAATACTACGACGAACATTTGAGTCAACTTGTGTCCGGTGCCCCGCGCACAGTGAATGACGCGCAAATGACACTTAATATATGTAAACAAGATGGCGCAAAATCGACCTAAGCGAACTTATACGTTTTGCCGTAGAGCACAGTGACTACACTCCTAGGCCTTCGTCCAAATGCTCCAAAAAGTCCGCAAAGGATAATAATCTTAACAAATCCGGCTTATCCGTTTCAAGTTCATTATAGTATGTAGTTACACTGCATGACGAGTTCTGCCATGTATTTTAAAAGCCATTTGACTGGGTTTCCACCTTTAGCACGTTTGATAGCAGCGTGAAGAGAAATGATCTTTGTCTTGAATGCTTGAACTAAGCGTCTGCTAAGCATGACACCTCGTATGCCACTCTCCAAAAGGATGTTATTGACAATAATGGCTAACTAAGACGCATACGTTTGACCTTCTTGTCGCTTGTACTCTGTTGACAATTTGTAAATCAAGAAACTGCACGGTTATATAAATCAGAAAGATATTCATAAATAAACAGAATTTCCCAAAACCTTAATTAATAAAGACTGCTGTACAAACGAGTACATAAACAAAAAAAAATAAATAAAATCCACAAACTCACTTGCTCATTTATTCATCAGTCAAATCCAAGTGTGCCCATCCCCCCCCCCGAGCTACCCCGGGGCATTTTCCTATAAAGCACGTCCCGGGGTTTGGGCATTTGAACTCAAACCTTTGCCCGGGGGCGGGGCTTGAAATTCTTTGGATCATTTTATACGTGCCCAAAATACCATGATGTATAAAACCAGTCAAGTTGTCAAATATAAAACGCTAAAATTCGAACCACGCCAAACTTTAAAAATAAATGCGCTAGAGCATGACGAAAACGCGCTAGAATATGACGCACAATGCTTGGTAGCCTGCAACGCAGGCGAAA